ATATGAGGCTATTGAAAATACGATGATTTCGGTCAGGTGCACCTTAGTCCTAAAACTGATATTTTTTCTCTTGAACACTTTGAAGAGGTCTTGTGCTGCAGATTTGTCTAATGCAATATCTCATTTGATTTCTTGGCTGCTGCTTTCATAAGTGTTGATAGTGGATCTAAGCACAGTGAAGTCTTTGACAACTTTGATCTTTTCTCAATTTATCATGTTGTTATTTACTAGTTCAGTGAGGATTTTTATTTCCTTACATTGAGATACAATCCGTGCCAAAGGCCATGTCTTTTTGATCTTTCTCAGTAAGTATTTTAAGTCCTCTACTTTCAGTAAGCAAGGTTGTGCCATCTGAATACCATAAGTTGTTTATGAGTCTTTCTACAATCCTAATGCTATGCTCTTTTTCAGATACCCAGCTTCTCAGATTATTCTCAGAATATTAAAGGATTCCATGGACAAAATATAGATTGATGCAAAAAGCATCAAAAAAGGATGGAAATTATACAGAAAGTTCCTGTACAAAAACAAAATGGTCACTGTTCAGCCATTTCAAGACATGGCATATGATGAGCATACAGATTGAATTAGTATGGTGAAAGAATGCAATCCTGGCACACGCCTTTCCTGATTTTAAACCATTGTATGTCCCCTTGCTCTGTTTAAATGACTGCCTCTTGGTGTATGTACAGGCTCTTTGAGTACAATCCAGTGTTCTGGAATACCCATTCTTTGTGATGTTATCCACAGCTTGTCATGATCCACACAGTCGAAAGCCTTTGCATAGTTGATAAAGAACAAGTAAACATTTTTCTGGCATTCTTTGCTTTCAGCCAATATCCATCTGACTAACATAAATGTCTTCTTCTGAATCTGGCTGGAGTTCATGGCAGTTACCTAGCAATGTACAATTGCAGCTGTTTTTGTTTTGTTTTGTTTTTAACCTATCTTCAACAAAATTTTACTTGCATTTGAAATTAATTATAATGTTTGATGATTTCCACATCTTGTTAGGTCACCCCTCTTTTGAATGGGTATAAATATTGATCTCTTCCAATCCAGGTCTCTGTCTTCCAAATTTCTTGGCATAGATGAGTGAGTGCCTCCAGTACTGCATCAGTTTGTTGAAAGATTTATATTCCATAAATTTGGAGCCTTGTTTTTCACCAATATCTTCAGTGCAGCTGTGCTTCTTCCTTCAGTGCCATAGGCTCTTGATCATATGCTACCTCTTGAAGTGGCTAAACATCGATCATTTCTTTTTGGTACAATTACTCTGTCTATACCTTCCTTCTTTTTTGATGCGTTCTAAATTGTTCAGTATTTTGATCATGGAATCCTTCAGTATTGCAAGTAGAGGCTTGAAGGTTTTCTTCAGTTCCTTCAGCTTGAGAAATGCTGATTGTGTTCTTCCCTTTTGGTTTTCTAACTCAAGGTCCTTGCATATTTAACAATACTTGATTTTTTCTTCTTGAGCTGCCCATTGAAATTTTTGGATTCATCTCTTTTGATTCCTCTTTCTTCAATTTATTTTAACATCTGTACTCTGGATAGCAAGTTTCAGGCTCTTTTCTGACATCATTTTGGTATTTTATTTCTTTCCTGTCTTTTTAATGATTTTTTGCTTTTTTCTTGTATGATGTTCTTGATGTCATCCCACAGCTCTTCTGATTTTTGGTCATTAGTGTCCAATGTATCAAATTTGTTGTTGAGATGGTCTTTAGATTCAGGAGGAATATGTTCAAGGTCAGGTCATATTTTGGCTCTTGTATGCTTATATTAACTTTCTTCAGCTTCAGCCTGAACTTGCTTATGATATTGAGCTATTCCACTCTCTCTTCCAACAGATGTAGTCAATTTGATTCCCATGTATTCCAGCTAGTATGGTCCATTATATTACCACCTTTCATGTTGCTTTAAAAAAGTATTTTCAATGAATAAGTCATTTGTATTTTAAAATTTGTTGTGATCTTCAACATCACTTCTGTCACTAAGGCCATATTTTCCAATTGCTGACCCTTGCTCTTTGTTTCCAATGTTCACATTCTAATCACCGGTAATTATCAACACATCTTGATTCCATGTCTGATAAATTTCAGACTGAAGAAGTTGGTAGAATTCTTCAACTTCATTATCACTGGCTTTAGTGGTTGGTGGGTAAATTTGAATAATTTACACAAGGTCTGCCTTGTAGGTATATGGCTATTATCCTATCTTAGACAGTGCTGTATTTCAAGATAGGTCTTGAAGTGCTTTTTTGTGTGTGTGGGGGGGGGTGATGAATTTGTAGTTTCCTGGCATAGTAAACCATATGATTGCCAGATTCAAAATGGCTAATACCAGTCCATTTCAGCTTGCTAATGCCTAGGATATTGATGTTTATGTGTTCCATTTCATTTTTGACAGCTTCCAATTTTCCTGGAACCATAATTCATACATTTCATGTTCTGATTATTAATGTTTGCAGTGGTTTCTTTTCATTTTAGTTCTTCCCCATCATAAATGAAGGCCTTTAAAGTTTTATTCCATTAGCATCATGGTGGCCGACTCTACCTTGAGGAACAACTCTTCCCTAATGTTATTTTAGGGGCCTTCTAACATGAAGGGATCTTCTTCTGGCACTGTATGTGAAAATATTCATAATGTTTTAATCTTCCAGTACTATCTTACAGTGTTCTGCTTCTATTCTTACGGTTTTCAGTGGCTAACCATTCAGAAATAGTCTGCTTCTCCTTCATCCTAGTCTATCTTTGTCTGGAAGGTCTACTGAAACCTGTCCAGCATGGGTGACTCTACTGATATTTAAAATACCAGTGGCATAGCTTCCAGCATCACAGCTACACTTACGCCACCACAATATGGCAAACTGATAGATGAGTAAAGATAGAAAGTGTGAGAGATGGAATTAAAATAAGAGAAATATATTTATATCGGTTTATCCTAATTATTCACTTTGTATCAGTGATTTATAAACTCTTGAATTTGAGACACATGGAGGACTAATCAGAACCAACCCCCTGCCATCAAGTTGATTCCAATTCATAGCAACCCAATAGGACAAAGCAACCCAATAGGACAAATTGCTCAATAGTGTTTGAAGCTGTAAATCTTTTGGAAGTCAACATCCTCATATTTCTCCTGTGGAGAAGCTGGTAGGTTTGAGCCACCTACTTAGTGGTTAGTAGCCCAAGGCTTAACGTTTTTAATTTGACATTACAATAAAAACTGAAGATTTTTTTTTTAAATCATGATTTATTATGAAAGTAATAGTGAGAAAGACATAATTACAACAGTACCCTGATATAAGTATGTTTAATGTGTTATTAGAGATGTTTTCAAAGGGATAATGTTGAAAACAATGAAAGGATTGGACATTGATGGATGAGTGGGTAATGCTGCTGGACCATGACACATTCTGAGAAACACTGTTCTACCAGCATCCTCTGATAGACAATGGGAGTGAGAGAGAAAATGCAGGGGAATTTATGGACTAAACCTAGAGATGCCATACTTTATCAGCCTACATTTTGTTGGTGACAGCTCAGTCACATGATTTCATATAAATGTAAGGGAGACTGGGACATGTAATCTAACTTTGAACTCTGGAGGAAAAGAGAAATGGTGTGGTTTATTATCACAGTGTCTCCTTCCATTGGAAGGTATTACTTGTATTTTAGCTATGGATGTAGGCCAAAGCTAGAAAAGACAATTCATGAAAAGTTAATTTGTTTGAGCAGATCCTTAACTCCTCCATTGCTTCCTGGAATAAGAGATAAAATTATATTTTAAAAGAATTCCTAAAAATTTTTGCATGTTAAAGAAAACACAAAAAGAAAAAAATTTTTTTACATATGCTAGTGATTATGGATTATGACAATTGGTTTTTAAGAAACAACATTTACTTGATATCTTAAATTTATGCTGAATTACTATTAAACTCCACAAATTAGCACTTAATATCTTGACATACATGAAATATTTAATGTGTTTAAAATGAGGAGCTATTGCTATATTACTTCATTGGTATTGTTTTTTCTGTCAAAACCTATGGTTATTTCGTCTGATGTTATTTATAAATTGCTTTTGTGAAAGAAGAGATGAAGGCTAATGGTTTCTTGATGAGCTCTGTAAGCATGTCAAGCTAATGGACAACAGTGCAAATAATTATAATAACCAAGATTTATCAAGCACTTACCAGGTATTTTGCCTTATAATGTGGGAAGTGGAGACTTGAGAACATCTTATTGGTGTAGTTTAAGCACTCTAGATATGTGAACTCAAGTAATACTCACAAAATACTCTATGAATATTGTAGTTTTTTTTTATTGTTATCTTCATTTCACAGATGAGGTAACACAGGCAGTCAAGTATAGTTGTTGTCCTTGTTGTTGTTATATGCTGTGGAATTGGTTCCAACTCATAGCAACCCTGGATAGGGTTTCCGAGGCAGTAAATCTTTACGGGAACAGAAAGCCTTATTTTTCTACCATGGAACAGCTGGTAGCTTTGAGCTGCTGACCATGAGATTAGCTGCCCGACTCATAACCACTACACTACCAGAGCTCCTTATTAGTAGATAATTAATGTCAGAACTGGGATTCACTTCCACATAGTCTGACTTCAGAGGCCAAGATTATATCTACCAAAACTACCTTTTAGAAGCTAGAGTCAAACTAAAGGGATAGGGACAAAGATGAGGTAACTAATTGGTGCACTTGCATTAAAGTAGGTTTGGAACATTCATTTGGGACTTAAGCATTACATTTTGTCCATATCATTTGAACTGCTAAGCATTTCCAGAATGTATTAATCATGGATCTTGCTTTCTTCTTTTTATTAAGATCTAGCCTTTGGCATACTGTTTGTTCTACACTTGTTCAGACATAGTAAAAACTAAGATATCTCCTGAATTGCCTGAGAAGCCTCAGAGTAAATCAGTGGAAGAAGAAGGTGGTTTTTGTTTTGGTTATGCATCTGAGAAATTTCTTTTTCTTTTGCAGACAGGACTATCCTTGTGGATACCGATCTTCCAATTCTCAAAGGTCTCTATGTGATGGGGACTTTAGAATTCCCTGTGGACAGAAGCAATGTTCTGAGTGTAGCATGCATGGTCATTGCAGGAGGGGAGCTGAAAGTTGGTGAGTAAGGGGCACAAGGATTGAGCTGAGTGGTCATTTAACTCTGTAAGAAAGGCCTCTGGGAAATGGATGACATCGTATTAATGGGGTTTGGGAAGAGCTTATGCAAGAAGTGAGTTTATTACTAATTCTTTCTCTAGGAAAGCTTTAGATATGGTTAGAGCATCATTCTCTCGTGCCCACCTATCATCTTGTTGTGTCATTAGACCATTGACATCAGACCATGTCTTGAGACCAATGGTCTTCATGCTGCTGCTAATTTCAGGACTATCTTTGTTTTCTCTCTCTTTAAAGTAGATTGTTTCTTCCTCTTGTTCTCTGTATCAGAATTTACCGGTAGCTCATTTTTTTTTCACTGAATTCCTGTTGAATTTTATATCCTCTGATAAAGTAATTTAAAATAAAAATTTCAGTTGCTATGTTAACATACATAGTACCATGGAAAAGCATGCCCTACAGAAAAGCTTATGTGCTGATACTTTATTTGGGGTCAAATAATCCCAGAGAGAAGAGTGAGAAAAGGGAAGTGAGGGAAAAAAGGCAGGAAAGCAAATACAAGTTGGCCACAGCTTGGATGCTCACCATGGCATGGTCAACCATTCAATAACAAAAGGGTAACACTTACCTAAGGACAGAGTTCAGAAAGGTTGGGAAGGAGGAAGGAATGAAAACAAGAACCACAGGGAGGAAGTGGGATAATGTTGTTACTTGTAGGGAATTGCACTCATAAGACAAAACAAAGTATATGATTTATTGTTTGCAAAACTGATAATGATCTGCTCTGTAAGCCTTCACTCAATTCACAATAAAAGTTTCTCAAAAATAAATAAATACAACATGGCAGTTTTCTGGTTCTTTGTTATTTTGGGGTAAAATGTATAGGACCACCACATCTTGGAACAATATGGAAAGGAAGGTATGGGAGAAGGGCAAGCATATCACTGGTTGCCTTATCTTTCTGGTTTCCTGTCTCTCTTAATCCAAGTCTACTCTAAAGCCATTAACACTTCTATCTTTTATTTTTGTTATGTTTCCTAGCTCCCTAGACAACTAATGGAGGGGCCAAAGAGTCAGTGGATGCTAGAGCTGGAAAGCTAGATATTTGTTGAGACCTAGGGACCTATGGGGTACAGAGATCTGGGGTAGTACATTAACCAGGTTTGGTAAAATGAGTTACTTAAATAGTAATTAAAAAAATATTTTAGGTGTACTTACTATATGCATGTATGGACTCCTGGTGTGGTGCTGTAGGAAAAATGCTCAACTGAAAGGTCAGTTTGAACTGCAAGGTTGGCAGTTCAAAACCACCATCTGCTTCTCAGAAATCCTATATAGGATGGCTATGAAGTAGAACCCACTCAATGACACTTAACAACAACATATACATCTGTGTATTTTCAGTATACTATATATATGAATCCTGGTGTGGTTCTGTAGGATCAGCACTGGACTGTAAACCACAAGGTCAGTAGTGCAAACCCACCAGCTGCTTCTCAGAAACCGTGTACAGGATCACTATGAGGTGGGACCAACTCGATGGCACTTATCAACACCAACATATACATGGAGAACTCCTGGTGTATCACTATAGGATCAGCACTGCACTGTGAACCTTAAGGTCAGCAGTTCAAACCCACTAACTTCTCTCTGGAAACCCTATAAGGGTTACTATGAGTCATAACTGACTAGATAGCACTTACCAACAACATATACATGAAAGGAGACCTGTTAACACAGTGGATTATGAGCTGGGCGGCTAACTACAAGGTCAGTAGTTTGAATCTACCACTTGCTCCATGGGAGAAAAGTGAGGCTTTCTTCTTCTGTAAAGATTTACAGCCTCAGAAACCCTATACAACATTGCAGTGTGTCAGAACTGACTTGATGGCACACCACCACCATCAGCACCACCATATACATGGAAAGAAATCCAGGTGGCACTGTAGGATGAGAGCTGGACTGGTAATTGCAAAGTGGGCAGTTCAAATCCACAGACTGCTCTGTGGAAGCAAGATAAGGCTTTCTGCTGCCTTAAAGATTTACAACCTCAGAAACCCTTTATAAGGTCACAATAAGATGTAGTTGATGACAGGAGGTTTGGTTCTGGTATATCTACATGTAGCAATTCTAGACACTAAGAATGTAATGCTGGCAAGGCATGTGCTCTGTCTTTAAATGAGCTAACTTTGAACTTAGTAAAACATTCTCCTTTGCCCCAACAAGAAGACTAAAAGTGTCCCAAAGAAATAAATCTCTGATGATAAGGAAATATTTAAGTATCAGTGTTCAGTACCACATACATTTTAGAGCTTGGCAGGAGAGAATTTTAGGTATAGCTTCTGGTGCAAACTTGACATCACAGTAAGCAGATTCCTGAAACATCATTGTCAAACTTCTTATTGAAAATTCCCATGACAGAAAAATAAAACCTTTCAAGGCAACCTGTTCCTGTTTTTTTTTTTTTTTTCTTAAAGTACTATTAGGGTTCTTTCCCTTGCATTAAGCCAAAGTCTATTTCCCTCTAATTACTGTGGATTCATGTTCTCCCACTTGAATCATATAGGGTAAATATCTCATTCCCCTTTAGCTTTAATAGTTCTTTGTTCACACTGTCTTTTCTACGTTATAGGGTTCCTATTATTTTACTTCTGACTTACAATTATTGTGTTTTTAAATTATTTTTATTTTTTCAGCTTACAAAACTTGGAAATCCAGAAAAGTAAATAGAATATTATGCAAAAGAAATTATGTTCCCAGAACATAATTAATATTTTAATAGTTAATATTTTGGAATTCTATCTTAAGATTTTGTTTGTACTACTGGTAGCGTAGTGGTTATGAATTGGGTTGCAAACCACAAGGTCAGCAGTTCAAAACTACCAGTTGTTCCACGGGAGAAAGATGAGGCTTTCTGCTCCTGTAAAGATTTACAGCCTCGGAAACCCTGTTCAGGGTCGCTATGAATTGGAACCGACTCCACAGCACATAACCACCACCACCACATATGTAAGCATAGATAAACACACACACTTTAAAATGTAGACTATAAAGTTTGATAACCATTTTTGAGCTAATGTAACCTTGTGAGAATTTCCTTAACTCATATTTTCAAAGATACAATATTAATAGCTTTAATACTCTGTAACACAGTGAATGTATAGATACATATATAATGTATTTCATTATTTTTCTTTTGTTGAACAATTGTTGTTGTTGTTATATTCTGTGGAGTTGGTTCTGACTCATAGTGACCCTGCGTAGGGTTTCCGAGGCTGAAATCTTTACAGGAGCAGAAAGCCTCATCTTTCTCCCGTGAAACAGTAATTTCTAACTGCTGACCATGAGATTAGCAGCCCGATTCGTAACCACTACACTACCAGAGCTCCTTAGAATAGGTTATTTCAAATTTTGTCCTTATAACTCACTCTGCAATAAACATCCTAAAATCATTCATATATCTGATTATTTACTTAGAATCCTTAGGATAAGTGTTTATAAGTGTGAAATTATTGGAACTAAGGATTCAATAATATGTGAATGGTTCTTGAAAAATCTTTCAAACTTGCTATCTCTGAAGATTTTACAAGTTTGCCTTCCATCCTCCCTGCTCCATATTTTTCCAGAGAGGTGAAGTCCTGTCATTGTTCCTGGCATTGCTCTAATCACACTCTGGTTTGTTTGATTCCTCTGAAAGTATGAAGATAATGTGAAAGAGCTGTTCCAAGGTGGAACCTGGGCTATTCTGAACACAATGAGATGGGTATAGTGTTTAACAGCATGGGCTTTGAGTCAGCTGGCTTATGATCAAATCCAGCTTAGCCACTTACTTACTTTTTTACCTTACTCAAGTCAGCTTCTTGGTGCCTCAATTTACTCATCTACAATGTGTGTGAGATAACAGTGGAACTACTGTAGAGTGATGCTGAAAACATCAGATACTACATCTCATACCAAGTGTTTAGCACAGGCCGTGGCATATAGACAGTATTCAATAAATTTTAATCAACCAGGAAAACAGATGCAGGAAATAGATATCATATCATATTGGATAATTTGAGAATATTTTCATAAAGTGCCATGTTTACAAAAATCCAGGTAGGATGGAGCTAGAATACAAGGCTTCTTTACTTCCCCTTCCCTATATTAGCAAAAACTGAGCTATTCCTGTAATACAGAAGTAGAGAAGGATATGTAGAATTGGTTGCCAGGCAGAGACAAGATCATTTCTAGCAGGACTCAACCAGCTATAGGTCTAAGGACATGCCCTGATCTCACTCTTTTTCTTCCCTCTTGTCCCTGCTTGTGTTTCATTTGGACAAATCCAAGGGGAAGTTAGAGTAAAAGAGCATCCTGGGACACTGTAGTGTCTGGAGGAAGGTAAAACCTGAAAATGGAAACACAGATAGAAACTTTGCCACTTAGCTTAGCACTATACCACAACAAATAAAGTGCTTCTATTAACAAGGGTTAATCTGTGTTTGAAAGATTAAACTACGTTTTTTGCCCCAAAGCCATGTCATGCTATTGTTTCTCTAATTATGCTGTCAACTCTTGGTGTTGTTGTGAAATGCCCTAGAATCAATTCTGACTCATTGCAAACCTATATAGGGTTCCCAAGGGGTGGCTGGTGAGTTTGAAACTCTGACCTTATGGTTCAAACCACCCTATGGCTGAGTGCTTATCAGATAGCATCATTGTTGTTGTTGTCAGGTGCCATCGAGACGGAACCGACTCATAGCGACCCCATGCACAGCAGAACAAAACAATGTCCGATCCTGGACCAACCCCACCACCGCTGCCACACTTGATGCCATCAATGATGCCACCTGGCTGATCCATCTTGTTGGGGGTCTTCCTCTTTTTCTCTGACCCTCCATCTTACCCAGCATGACACCTTTCTCCAGTGACTGTTCTCTCCTGACAATATGTCCAAAGTATGAGAGACGAAGCTTACCCATACTGGCCTCCAAGGAGCACTCTGGCTGCACTTCTTCCAAAAT